CGATCAAGAAGGAAAGCGTCAAGTTCATCGAACTCATCGAGCACTTCATCAAGTTCTGAAAGTGATGACGACGGTGATGCACGAAAACGGAGACGAAATAGACGAAAGACAGAACGGCTAAAGGTAGTGGAGATTACGATATAATAGTTCAAAATTGATTTATGTTGTACTCTCCTTATTAGTGTAGCAAATTTTTTTCTATGTGCTACCTGCTTTCATTACGTTCTTTTTTGATATTTTTTAAACCTTAATCTACCCTGAATAACTTGATAATTTTCAATCGTTGATAAGGAAACATTCAAGCGTTCGAAACTGATTTGAAAGGTGTCAACATTGCGAATGATTGTGGGGGAGCTTCGCTATCAAACTTTTCGCATTCAGACGAATAAGAGTAGCAGACCCGCTCGTTAAAAATGCTCCATTTTCCATTTTCCTTGGTGACTGTGCCAAAATTATGCGCTTCTCAAAAATTCAGCATTTTGACCTATAATCCAATCCAATGGACGTCCCACATCATAAGGGAAAGCCATGGGGTTCCGATCAGATCTTGAATTGGGCACTGAAGGCCTGATTCAAAACACTTATCGACTGCCGTATTACCATGAATGCCATGTTATTCTTTTCTTCGTTCTGGTTGAATATCGTTGGTAGTTACACCTGTTTTCTCCTATCAGAAAGCTGTTAATGCCGAGTTATTTATCTCTATTTTAGGGTCCTCAAGTACCTCCTCTTTTCCAACGAATGTTCAACTATCGGCATGAGATTATCAATGCACTTTCCGCAGAACACAAAACGGCCTTTGCTTCTGTCTTGCACCAGGTAATTTTTGTGTTTGGTATTTCTGCAGTGGAAAATCGCCATTTGGTCTACTCTGATTCAATGTATCTTGACGAGGTATCGGCTGTCACGATTCAGTTTTTTGAGCTTCTTGGCCAGTACATCACGCTGAACAACGTCTCCTTGATATGTATTTAAAGATGGTAATGAGTTGTTTGAGTAGCTGTAATTTTTGGTACTTTGTACCAGTAAACAATACTTAACCTATCGAATAAGTGAGGTTGATATAATCGTTGTTGTCGTCCCT